TCTACTATTAGGGCTTGCAAGCTATCTGCCAGCGGTAAGTAGCACCCAGCCGTACCAGCCTTTTTCGTTGTTGTTGTTGCTGTTGTTGTTGTTGTTGTCGTCAAAGAGCGTAAGCCAAGTCCCCCTTGATTGGTAAGTTGTTCCTACACTCCTAAACCCAAAGCCCTAGACTCAAAGCCCTGGACACTAAGCCCGAAATTCTTAAAACCTTCCCAGCTTAGAAGCCCCAACCTTGAAACCTTTTACTAGCCTCAGAGACCGTTGCTTTCAGACTGAGGACTTTGCTCGTGTCCGCCTCCGCCTGCGGAGCTTGCAGAGAGGCTGGCGGAGAGAGCGCTCCAGATGCCAGAGCAGAAGTGATGGAAGGAGTTTTGACAACTGTAGCAGAACGCCTTTGTCAGAAGTTTCCCGGTAGTGGTAGCGACAAGCATGTGTAAACGCGAGAACCTGTAGCAGCATGGCACTTAGGCAAGAAGTATACGAGAATTGCCAGAACAGCAGTACTTCTACTGATCGGATTTGCAGCATGAACAGCACCAAAGGCAATCAAATGGCATCATCACAGAAAGTATTGCAACGGCGTCGACACGAGACATTGCAGTTGTGGGCGAAAGGAGCAGGAACCGTAGTCATCGCAGAAGTAACATAAGCAATAGCAGCGCCAGGAACGCCTGCTACATAGATAAGACGAGGCAAAGATCGAAGAATCAGCAATGCGAGCTTCATCTGCAAGACAAGCAACATACAACGGCGCTTTCTGCAAGAAGGGTCGTGGGCTCAGAGCGGGTGGCCGTTTCAATCCTTCGGACCCTCACGAAAGTAGCGCGCTTCCTCCGTCGGCAGTGTGGCTCTTGCCCCGCCCCGACCTTTGCGCTCTTCTGTTTCTACCACTCCCGAAGCACCAATCATGGCCGAAGCATCGCGCAACGTGGCCGAGGGCACGGACAGGGTGAAGACGCCCGGATAAGATGGAGGTTTGATGGCTTGGGCTTTTTGATGCGTGCACCGTTACTTTCGTCTGGGGGAGGCAAGCCCAGTGATGCTTGCACCTAAACCCTACACCCTTCACGCTAAACCCTTAAACCCCTAAGCAGGTGTTTGTTGGAGGAGTCGGTCGCATGGGCATCTTCACCGAAGCGTCGTATGACATGCCTGATCCGAAATCCGGAGCCGTTCCTGAGCAGTAAACCGAAGCCCACTGAACCTTCATCCCATGAAGCTTCATCCCTCAAACTTGCAGAGAGCCTCAACCACACTCCTCCCCAGACCCCCGGAGGATCTAGAAAGTAGATCCCCTAATTTGGGGCCTTGTACTACTAAGGGTACCCCATTCAGGGGTTTACTTTCTGGATCCTCTCGAGGGTCTGGGTCTGGGCCAAATGAGGAAGGGCCTGCCGGCCATGCTCAAGGGCGGCGTCATCATGGATGTCATGAACAAGGTGGGAGTGTCCGAAAGTCAGGGGCACCTTAATAAGGGGTCCTTATAAGACTATATTACGGTCCCATATTTTCGGAAACTCCCATGTAGTAGAAGCCAGGGTTCAGGGTTTAGTGGACAAGCTTCGGACACGGTTAGTTTACGAGAAGTCATAGGCCCCAAGTCGCACAAGAGCTGCCAAGACTAAGATGTCCGAAAAGAGCCCCAAACCCCAATGTAGGAACCTGATTAAGAAACCCTGGGCCTACTACACGCAAAGTAGTAGGATTCATATTATAAGGAGCCCTAATGAAGGCCCAAGGTTTCTTAATCAGGTTCCTACGTGAAATCCAAACCGGTGCAAGCAAGGGATGTACTGGCAGATCCGTCTCGTAAGGCCACGGCTGCATATACCATCATGGACTCACCCAGAGGCTCCATAGATCTCCATAGCATATATTTCAGGGTTGGGATTGCCTTAATCAAGGGATTATAGGGTTCTTAGCATGAACCCCCAAAAGGAACTACTATGGCACTATGGAGCCTATGGTTATGCAGCATCACCGGAATGAAGCGGCCGTCCGAGGGACCTCGGTTAAGATGTAGTAGGCAAAAGTGTGGCCCCCTTGAAAAATCTCAATGAAAGAAGTTCCCCCCCAGAGAGCCCAATACCACCTCAATTAAGGAATATACCTTAACTGAGCTTAAATTATAAGGGGATAATTCGGGGTATTGGGCTCTCTGCGCCCCTCCTTCCTGCCCCTCCGGCACACACACACACATGGGAAATTCCGAAAATAGGGTCCCCGTATAGTACCCCAAATAATAGGATCCTAATTATAAGGACCCCGAAATAAGGTACCCCTAATTTTCGGAACCTCCCACATGTTTAGTCATCATCATGACGTATGCTGCCGGCTATGTGCATTGCAATGCACCTGCACGATGCGGCGCATCTTTACAGCAATGACAACCTATCCATAGATCAACGTGTTTGCAGTACCTGCAGCTCAACACCAGAACTGGCTGAGCTAGCAACCAGTAGTTGCTGCGTCAGCTTTTTTTACATACCAGACCATACACACGTTTCTTGCGGGTCCGTGGCGTTGTCGTTTGTCAACGACAGTCAGAGCACCAGCGGCTGCAGAGAATCAGGTTTTGATTGTGGCGGCATAAGGGGGTGGTGGTTTGGGATTTTGGGTAGTGCGGGGTTCAGGTACCCTGACTTAATTGCGAAAAGTTAGGCTTTCGGCCGATCCCTACATCCTAAACCCATGAACGGCGCCAGGAGCAGGCCAAGATCGCAGAGGAGGCGGCCTCTTTGGTTCAAGGGTTCGCTGCTTGGAGTTGTCACACTGGCAGGATTGGCTTCACGTAAGCCCCAAGCCTTCAACGAAGACCGTACAACGTTCTTAGTTATTGTGGGTGTCTGGGGAACGATGAACCTGCAACTGCACCCGCTCTGTTAGGGTTTAGGGTTTAGGGTTTGGTAGCTCTTAAGGTTCCTAGTAAGGGAACCCCAAACCCCAGTTGAAACCGGAGCACCTTAACCTCCAGTCCCACACCCTGGGCCCCAAACCCGCGGCCTTCGGACCCCTAATATAGGGGCCTTAATAATTAGAATAGGGTTTCGGGCCCATGATACTGGAGTTAAAATAAGGAACCCCCTAAACAGCAAAGGTAATTGTTCAGGCTCCAATATTTGAGAATTTAGAGCCTCGACCTCAAACCCCAAAGGGCTGTAACGAAGGAGCCCCTAAACTCCTTGCATTAACTCCATTCTCCCTTAATTAAGGAATATACCGTAGATTATAGTAGGATCCCTAGTATGATTTCAGGTATATTCCTTAATTAAGGGATCCTATGAATGGAAACTCTATCGAACCTTGCAGAGCCCTGCATTCTATGCCTTGAACTACCGGAAGTATTCGAAGGCCGGCGCATGTGCCGTCATGGCCCTGGAGCGAATTCCCGCGGACCTCCGGTTCAGGGTTTCGTTGCCATCATCAGTATTGCTACCATTTGGTATTGTTGTTCTGGTTGCTGTGGTTATTGTGATAGTCACTTTTCTGTATTGCTAGTTGTCAGTGTTATGCTGACGATCAGTATATTCTTTTTTGTTCTGGTCGTTGTGACGATCATGATTATGATTATTCTAGTTGTCGTTGTGGCTGGTATGTAATATAGTATGCCAGCAGGTAGGCTTTGAAGAAGAGTCTTAGAATTAAAAACTTAGGATCAGTATACCGTTACTGTAAGGGTTGGTACACGTGGTTTAGGGGTTAAGAGTTTCACGAATTACGGGCGCCCGGCAGTTGCAATAGGCCGGGATGGAAGAAGAGGTTCGTAATTATTCACAACTGGCTATGGATCGTCGTGTGCATGTGTGTGTGTGTGTGGGTATGTTTTGAGGTGGTCCGCGCGAGTTTCTTTGAGCATGGCATGGATGTGCAGTCACGAGAGGTGAGCTCAGACTCTCGCGCGATTGTGCACGCATGCTGATGCACAGAAAGAGCTTTACGAGTTGAAAAGGGATGAAGGCTATACGCGTACACTTAACCGAACCCTTCAAAGGTCAACCTGGCGAAACAGATCCTGTTACACTTCCACATGCACGAAACCCCAAGCCCTAAACCCCAAGTTGCGGTCGGTGAAAGGGGACCGGTTGACAGCAGGACATTCGCCAAAGCAAGGGCGTGGCTCGGATGTCGGATCCCAAGATGATCAAGGACCCGAAAGTCTTCAACAGAGGTTTCGGGTTTAGGGTATGGGGTTTAGGGTTTAAGGTTTAGGGTTTAGATGATTGTGGTTCGTAGACTGGCTAGACTTGAGCCCAGTCTGCCAGTGGCAAAAAGGGTTTAAGGTTTAGGGCTTAGGGTTTAAGTGTGAGGATACTAGGTACAGATGCAGAGAGACAATAGCACTGCAAGCGTTTTTCAGGACGTTTTTGAGGCTTCTTTCGGTTGGTTTTCGCTTTATCAGTGGTTTGAGGAGGTTCGACATCTAATATAGGGGCCTGAATAATTACCAATGCTATTTGGGGGGTTCCTTACTATAACTAAAGTATAATGGGCACCAAAACCCTATTCTACTTATTAATTGTTAAGGCCCCTATATGACCACCCGCAGGGTGTCTCAATAGCCTGCTCCTTAGTTGGGATTTGGAGGAGTTGGAGCTGACTGTTTGACTTAAGGGTTTGCTTGGTAGACCCAATATGGAAATTTCCGAAAATACACGGTACCACATTATATTTTGGGGTCTTTATAGTAAGGATCCTACTATTTAGGGTACTGTATTGGGGTCCCTTTTTTCGGAAGCCCGCATATGACGGGAACCTTACCGTAATATTTTTTGGCCGAAGCCGCTTGGAAGGCCTTGACAGCTGGATTCAGCTACAGTCTCCTTGAAAGTTGGATTCAGCTAGAGTTTATGACATTGTGTTTTCCAGCGACTCTTGAATCGAGACTCAAGCGAGTACCTCAACCTTCGAACGTAGTCGCGAGCTCTCGGATGATATCGTTTTCAACATGTGACCCTCCCTAGCCCTAGTCGCGTTGAGAGGCAAATCAGCTCCGACGAGCCATGGTCGAGCGTCGCCGAGTGCGACGCCGGCTCCCGAAAGTGCCGCGGATAGCATGGAAGAGGCTCCTTGAGCCGGGAAAGCCCGTGCGACTCCCGCGCTACGCCGACACCGCCCTTCGTTTGATGGCCGTTTCCGTGCAGCCCCGTGGTGCTCCCACGGCTGGGCAGAAGTCACGGAAAGAGAAATTCGCTGAGTTGCAGCTGATCCGCAAGGCTAGTGGGGCAGAGGATCACCCGTCGCGGCAGCGCTTCGCCTTGTGGCGGTTCCGTGCCAGGCGCTCCGCATGGCATGCCAGGCCGCTGAAGGCATTGTTGAACTGCTCCGACTGGAACACCTACCTGAGTGCCGTCGGCTACCCCCTCTTAGTTCTTGGAACCTTGGAGGGAGCATTGACGCCTCTACAAAAGACCCAAGCTGCAGACGACACGCCAGCGGAACAAAGTACTGGGATAGTGAGGCCGAATAACGTGGACGAGTTCTACGACGCGGTCGAGGCACACCTGCGCCAGAACGGCCGCACTCCTATGCGTCGGCTGGGGAACTTCGTTGCCTTACCACCTGGTGACAAGAGTCTCAAGCTGAAGAAGTTGCTGCTCGAGCGCCGGGACAGGTTCATCATCGACCTCTTCGGCAGTGTGGAGATCAATCACTCAAGACGTTGGCGCTGGAGCTCGCAAGGATTGGTGACGAAGCGCCGCCGCACCGCTGCACGGTAGCCCGTAGCAGACACCTGCGCTCAGCTGTCCGGAAACGCGGACGCGTGGCTTTGGGGCTTCAGGTTTTCTGCTGTAAATCCTTTTTGCAGTCAGACTTGAATCCTGACGTCTGTGAAGCACCTGTTCTTGAAGATTGGTGCTCATATCCTTATCGAACGATGGCCTTGTTTTGTAGCCCAACCTGGACCACCCTCTACAACTTGTACAGGGCCGCAGGGCCTTCTGCTTGGCTAAGGCATAGTTTGAGCGCCAAGACTCAACGCCCAAAGCCCGAAAACCCCAAGCCCCGCACTACATCAACCCGCAAACTTTGAAGCCTTCAAGAACACTCCTGAAAACGCTGAACGCGAAAACACTAAAGTCTTCAACCTCGCAAGAAGCCTTGAACCAAAACCCAAACCGTAAACCCTAAACCCTAAAGCTCTGAAGTCTAAACCAAGAAGCCCTAACCTCTTGAGCCGATTGGGCCCAGCCCGCAGGAGATCGTCAATTCAGTGTCCATCCCGGTGATGGCCAAGTGCAGGAGCCTAGGGGCATTTCCGGAATGCAGTTTCCGGTGACTTTATGAAATGCCTTCCCTGAGAACTTTCAACTCTGAACTTAAAGCTCGAAGGACCTAAACTGGACCTAAACCCCAAGCCCTCATAAAGCCGTGCCTGCATTGTGCGAGTCGACACCCCAAGCCCGCAGCCCCACCTTTCCTTTGTACAGAGGATTGGCCACTTCGTGGAGTCGCAGGCGTTGGTGCAAATTTTTCAGTGAGAGGTTTTGAGGGCCTCACCGCTAAATCGGACTTTGGGGTAAAAGGATTTTGGGGCTTTTAGGATGGGTTCTCGGTGTTGCAAAAGGGTGTGGGAAAGGGTTCAAGGTTCAGGGCTACAGCGTATTATCCTCCATTGTGTGCCATTCACCAACATGCTTACGACAAGTGCGGACTAATCTGCCTTTTCAATTAGGTTTCTCAGTCGCATGCTCAGAAGTTAGGGGCGCTGTCACGAGCACAGTCCTAACTGGCGGAAGAGCGGCAAACTACTAGGCGTCCTTGCAGGCAAGCCTGCAGCAAAAGGGCTTCACTCCACCCGGAGTTGGGGCTCTCAGGGTAGAGGATTCCATTCGGGGTCTCATTCTCAGGTACATGTAGTCCGACGCGCACCGTGAGACCTCGCCTGTACATAATGACCTATGCTATTTTGGGGGTCCTTGTTATAAATGTAGTATAGTGGGCCTCAAAGCCTTATTCTAATTATTACGGCCCCTATTTTAAGCCCTCGTGACCCTCATCCTTGCCGTGTCACGGACAGGTCCTGCAACAGATCGGTGTTGACTGCATCGATGAGAGCGAAGTCTTGACCGTCGCAGATGAGGGCAACCACGTCAACAAGACCAAGTTCAAGGCCTCGCATCAAAGGGGAAAAGGAGGGACCCTTAATGGGGACCCCTACCCTATAATGGGCTATATAATGGCTAATATAATAGCTATATTTATCAAGGGTATATACAACATCCCGAAAGCTTCTGGCTCTACTGCAGGAGGGTTTAGGGTTTAGGGTTCCTGGCATATGCGTAGTCCAGGTGTAAAAGGGTTGATTAGATTTGGGTTCGTGGGCATGTCACGCTATGGTCATATGGGAGTTTCCGAAATTACGGGGTATCTAAAATAAGGATCCTACTTAGGGTCCCTCGTTTTCGGAAACTCACATATGACATATGAGGGAATTCCTGCAAACTCCCCAAAAGATTCAACAGAGACCTCCAAGGCTAGCAGGTCCTGGCAAGCTCCATGTCCCGATGCTTCAGAGCTCTCACATACTATATGGGCCTATATAAAAATACTATTAGTATTTTGGGGGTCCTTATCATATTTATAGTAGGATAGTGGGCCCCCAAAACCCTATTTCAGTTGTTAAGGCCCTTATATTAGGGCTCAGACTGCCGGCTTAGTGTTGAGGGTTCCGGGCCCAAATGACACCTTTCTAAGTCTCCCGGCCTCTGAGGTAGCCCATACAGTCAGCCTGATAGTAACCCTTGAGGAAGCCATGTTGCAGCCCTAAAACATTGTAAAAACATAAAAAAACTATATAAAAAACCCTATAAAAAAAAAACCTATAAAACCCTGTACAACCCTACAAAAACCCTATAAAAACGCTATAAAAACCAAACACAAACCCTATAAAACCCTACAGAACCCACTAGACCCCCTCAAGCCCTGACGAAAGCTTCAGTCTCCTTGGGGGCAGGTTCCTTTCGTGTGCGGCTGCCGCAACCTTGGCGAGGCCCTGCGCCGCGTCGCCGAGGGAGCCAGCATGATCCGCACGAAGGGCGAGGCCTTCGGATGATTCTTACCTTTGGTTCGTAGGGAATGGAGGAATGGGGTATAATCATAACTACTATTACTACCATTCTTCCATCGGTAAGGATTGGGGGGCTTTGGGGTTTAGGGGTTCAGGGGCTTCAGGGTTTTGGGTTTTAGGGGTTTTGGGGTTTAGGGTTTTAGGGGTTTGGGGGGTTTTGGGGCTTTCGGGTTTAGGGGTTTGGGGGTTTAGGGGGTTTAGGGTTTAGGGACCCTGACTGCTTAGCGACTCGTTCGGCAATGCAGGAAGTAAGAAAGCACCCCAACACCCTGAAGTGCCTAGGCTCGCAAACCCTTGGCGTTCGTCTGGTTGGCTCTTAGGTGTTTAACTTTTTGGGTTTCTATATGAAGTATAATAGGGAGGCTAAAAATTGAACTTTTATAGACCCAGGAGCCCTCCAACCCTTCGAAGACGTAGAGCTCTGGACTCTAGTAGACGGACGTTACTAGGCTCGACCCTATAAACTGCAAGCCTAAAGCCATCTAAAAGCCACAGAACACAGAGAACCCTAGATTCAAGTTCAAATCCCCAATGCGCGTCCTTACGAAGTAGGAGGCAAACAACGCCTACCACTCAACCCACCCTTCCCCAAGGCTCAGGCCTCGTTTATTTTATTTATTTTTTAATCTTATCTCGTGTTGCTCTTAACTTATCATATATTGTTTGGTTAGTAGATGCCTTCCCCCCACCTATACAGATATTCACAGCTGTCTCTTCATCATTCTCTATCTATCTATCTACCTAGCCTCTCTCTCTCTCTCTCGCTATGTGCTTATCAATCTACCTATTCGTCTACCCATCTGCATATCTACCTATCTACCAAAAATCTACCTGTCTTTTTACCTACCTACGGGTTTGTTTACTTACCTGGATGCCTGCCTGCACGTACTTACCTACCTACCTACCTGTCCATCCCTACATCCATCCATGCATCCAGCTAGCCAGCCATCCTTCCATCGCTCTGTCTGTTAATCCAATCTAATCCAAACCTCATCTGATCCAGCCTCGTCTTAAGTCCGGCTTAAACTTAGTTTAATTTACATCATCTAACCGAACCTAACCTAACCTGATCTAACGTAATCTACTTTAACCTATCTATCGGGTCTTTCCATCCGTCTACCTACCTAAACCCTAAACCCTAAAGCCTAAACCCTTGGTATGACTCCGAACCTACATCTCTCGCCCGGTTTGTCCGAGTGTGAGCGCCGAAAGCCTAAACCCTACTCTGCCGACCTTGCCAGGGGCTTAGTCCGAGAGTGAGTGTCCAAAAACCCTACTCTACTTAGGGTTTAGGGGTTTAGGGTTTAGGGTTTCGAATGCCTGGGAGAGAGAGAGAGAGAGAGAGAGAGAGAGAGAGAGAGGGTTTAGGGTTTACTACCTATCTATTTCCGTTCTTCCCTTTCACAAAGCCCCGAAAAAGGCCGGCACCGGCGATGTCGTCGAGGCTGTGAGGCACATCCGAACGCTGCACAAGGAGATGCGGATGGTGCAGATGATGGACGAGGCCAGTGGGGTTTGGGGGTTTCAGGGTTTTTAGGGTTTAAGGTTTTCTTTTGAGTTTTTGGTTTTGGGCTTTCAGGTCTATAGGATTCTACAGGGCTTGAGTTCACGGTTTGAATTTGTAGGGCCTAGGGTGCGGATGTTGGACGGTGGCATTGGGATTTTTGGGATGCTCGTGGGGTTTGAAGCTCAAGGTTCTAAGGTTCGCATTGTAGGACTGCTGGTTTTCAGGGTTTCAGGGTTTCAGGGTCTCGGTTTAGGACTCTGGCAAAGGTTGCAGAGCGGTGCAGAGGATGGATGGGGGCCCAGAGCCGTGGATATTTTGGGGTTAAACCCTAAACCCTAAACCGTGTCTAAACCAATTGTGGTTGGAGGCTCTTGGGTTATGGGGCTTCACGCGCTGAGGGTTTTACAGATGTGTAGACCCCTCAGTGGTGGACAAAACCCTAAACCCTAAACGCCTAAACCCTGAACCCTAAACCCTAAACTTGAACTTCTAACCCCCCTAAACCCTAAACTTAAACCCCTAAACTCCCTGAACCCAAAACCCTAAACCCTTCGCCTGGATTGTCCGAGTGTGAGCGCCGAAACCCTAAACCCTGAACCGAACTTACTTAAAGGATCCTGGGACTTAGTAACTAGGGTTATAATTAGGGTAACTATACTTATAACTACTTATAACCCCAATTAAGGTACTTATAACCTTACCTACTAAGTCCCATGATCCTCCAAGTAAGCGTCATGACAGGACGAGCTCTTCACCTACGCCAAGGAGATCGGGGCACCCATTGACCTCGCACCCAGGAAATTTTACGAAGCTGTTTAGGGTTTAGGGTTTACGGAGTTTAGGGGTTCAAGTTTAGGGTTTAGGGTTTTTTAGGGGAATTGAAAATGAGGGCGTCGGGGTTAGGAAGATTAAGTGCTGAAGGTTCAGGGTTCAATTCCTTGTGAGGTCTGGGACCTCAGCAGTAATCGGCTGAAAGTATGGGATGTGGGTGCTGCATGGAGTTTTAGTTTGCTAGCACGGTGGTGACATGCAAAGTTTAGGCCCGTTATACTATAAGTATGATAAGGAGCCCCTGAAATAGTACTGGTATTTATTTGGGCCCCTATAAAAAGAAATTTTGAGGTACAGCACGTCAAGAAGACTGGCAAGCTCCCAGTGGTGAACTTTGCAGCCGGTGGCGTCGCCACGCCGGCGGACGCAGCTCTGTGCATGCAGCTGGGTGTGGACGGCGTCTTCGTGGGCAGCGGCAGCCTGGCTGTTTGACTTGCCGTCCATGCCAAAGCAGCCTCAGTTATGATACTTGACAGGCTGGAACGCTTGAGCTATCTGCCCTCCGCCTACAGTAGCGAATAAAAGCCTTCCAAAATGCATTCGAGCAAACCCCCGAATGCCACAGATGCCCTAAGCTTTAAACCCGACGGCCATTGTGGCTCAAGCCGCTGAATCTCAACCAACAAGCCCCCAAGCCACATACGTAGATAGCCGCTCGCCAGAGCTCACAAGGGCTCAATGTCCGAACCCCAATTCCCAAACCTCTCCTAGCAAGTCAGCGTGTGAAGTTAGAACGCCTTTCCAGGACTTGCATAGCCATGCCGGGGGCTCTTGCTTCTGCTGTGGTCTCGCTGGGGAGCCGAAGGGTTCGCATCGTCGGCTTGTTCATCTGCGTGTTGTTGCACCACCTTGCTGGCCAGCTCGCATTCGCCGCAGTTCAGCCTGTTGGCCGTCGGGTACTCTTCCGCCTGACGCGGTGCAAGGAGCAGCTGCCGTCGACGATCGACGTCTCAGCAGTCCGTAGGAAGTTTATACGTCTGGGCATGGACGGCTTTCTCGGGGAGTCCGAGGAGCAGCGTGCTACCCGAAGAGAACGCAGGCAGTCCTTTGAGGAGGTCGATGGGTGGTTCGACTTCCTCTTCAAAGAGAATGACAAGGATTGGGAGCAGTCTGAGCAGACGGAGGAGGATCGCAGCCTATGTGCGATGCATGAAGAGGCGCTGGTGCAAGCCATGGAGGATGGCACCATCTTCTGGCGCCCGCGCATCAATGGGGACCTGTCCTTCAAAAGGCTGAGGGACGAGCCAGATCCCGAGAAGATAGAGCGCTGGGCCCGTCAGCAATCCAAGGAGGGACGAAAGAGGAGAGGCAAGCGGCGTTATGGCAACCTCGGCAAGAAGCGGTAGTGGCGGTCGCTGGGTGCTGAGCCGGGCGAGTGGACCTGAGAAAAAGTACTCTACTGCATAGGATACGGCATTGGGCACATGGCTGCATCAGTACTAAGGCTAGCGGCTAGTGGCCTAATGGTACGAGTGTTTCGCGCAGGAGTCAGGGCTGTCAGCCTCCACTGATACTGATGGTCTTCTGTCACCCAACCCCCCAACCCCCCAACCCGCCGTAGCAGTTGGGTTTAGTTACTTCTTTGCGCTTTGAAGCCTTGCCTACCTTGTGCCCTAAACCCTAAACTGGACCTCGTGCCCTAAACCCTAAACCCTACCTTGTGTGCCCTAAGGCCCTAAATCCGAAACCCGACCTTGTGCCCGAAACCCTAAAACCGCTAAACCCTAAACTCTACCGTGCCTTGCCCACCTTGCGCGAGTGTGACGAAACCTTTGTTAGAAACCGCCTGAAGCATCACCCTAAACCCTAAATCATGTCATGTCGGCTTACTTGCTTTTGGGTCATTGCCCGTGTGGTGAACGGTCTTATTTATGCTACTTATGCTAGGCCTCCTTTTACGCCCCTCTGTATTAGTCACACTGGGTAGCAGCAGTGACAAATGGTCTGGCAAGTCACGGTAGTAACAGTAGCAATCGGACCCCTGAAGCCGTGCCTGCGTCAGCGAGTGTGCGTGTCGAAACTCTAAACCCTATTACCCTGAACCCTACTACCTTGAACCCTAAACCTATTGCCCTGAACCCTAAACCCTATTACCCTGAACCCTATTACCCTGAACCCTAAACCCTATTACCCTGAACCCTAAACCCTAAGCCGCCTGAGGCATCTTTAAGTCCGAAGATCCCGCGAAGCGCGCCAAAGCGATCGTGAAGGCCGTGACGCACTTCAACGACCCACAGGTGCCTCGGCCTTTTGGGGTGCAGGGTAGAGTTACTATAGGGATTCAATATGCTTCAAGGGCTTTCTAAATGGGTGGCTCGGGAGGCTTTACAAGGATTTTGTACTGCGTTAGGTTCAGGGTTGTACAAGCGTTCCATTCGATTCTCTGTGCTGCTTCAAATGAACGCCTTCCAGGGCTTCAGTGTTCATGGCATCAGGGTTTCAAAACCCTAATTAAAACCTAAACCGAATTGTGGACAAAGGGGTGTCGGCTTTGCATGATTTTGCATGGTGTAGGCCTTAGGTTGCGGCGAAACTTGCAGGGCGCAGGTCGTGGGGCCTGGGCAGGGTTGCATGCGTCTGTGAACTTGTGTATATACGTATATGCATAAGGCTGTATGTGTGTATGCGTGTATGTAGGTGCATGTGCACATGGGCAGTTCTCGTGTGTGTCTCTGTGTGTGTGCGCGCGTGCGTGCGTGCGTGCGTGGGTGTGTGTGTGTAAGTACGTAAGTAAGTAAGCTGTGAATCAAGCCTCTGTCTGGTGGGCCGTTAAGTTGGCCTGCCAGATCCCTGATCATAATTATAAAATATGAAAAGTAGCTAGTGCTATAGTAATAGTATTAGTAATTAGCAATAAAAGTAGTGTCAATTAGAAGCTGCCCCCACCCTGTAATAGTGGTATAATAGGAATATAATAGGGCCCTAATTTAATCCTATATAATCCTTATGGTCACTATTACAGGGTGGGGGCAGCTTCTAAAGTATCAATAACGGTAATGGTAACGAAGACAGTATTAATAGTAATATCAATGGTAATTAATAACAATGGAGGTTGCATTGCGAGACTCTTGATGATGGCACAGCAGAGAGAGAGAGAGAGAGAGAGAGAGAGTACAATGGAGTTTGCCTGAACGTCGGTGGTTGGTCCGAGAGCGAGTCCATAGACCAGGTCATCGCAGAGGTTTCCGAGGACATCGGCGAAGCCATGACCGGCCACTTTGGCTTGCAGCTTCGGGCTTCTTGAGGGGATTCCTCAAGCGTTCATGATCCTTAGACTCCTGGACATAGCCCTAAGCCACCTTGAACTTGCAAAGAACCAAAACAAAAACCTTTTGAACCGCCTGAAATCAAAAAAAATAACAGGGCCCAGTTAAAGATCAAAAGCAGGGTCTAGCGTTGTTTAAGCTGGAGATTCCCTGGTTGGGCGTTCAGGGCCTGCAGGCTTGGAGAGGCCAGGGAATCGTGAAACAGGAGACATCTTCGGATGATTCTACACTCGCAGAAGCCGTGCAAAAGACAAAGCTTTCCCTTTCAAGTATAGTTGGCCGCAGATTCGCACAGAAGGCTTGCCACTTCCAGGTGAGATCAAGTGAACACTGACAGCGGATAGCACAAGCTCTTGAATGCAAGCACGAGCTAGAGTGAACATCGGTTGCAAATTTCACAGCTTCGTGGGCAACTAGGCCGTGCCACGAGAAGTAGATGTGGCAGTAGCAGGTGTAGCGGCAGTAGGAGCAGTAGCAGGAGCAGCTGTAGCAGCAGGAGCAGCAGCAGCAGCAGTAGCAGTAGTAGCAGCAGCAGTAGCGGTAGCAGTAGCAGTAGCAGTAGAGGTAGCACTAGCAATAGCAGTAGCAGTATAGCAGTAGCAGTATAGCAGTAGTAGTAGCGTGCGATGTGATAATCGTCGAACCCAACTACGTCGCATGTTCACAGCTTGACATGCGCTGTACAGTCAGATTGTTTTCTTGTTCAAGTCTCTCCAGGTTCTCTAAGACTCCAATATCCCTTAATTAAGGAATGTACCTTAAAATTATAGTATGATCCTTAATATGATTTAAGGTATATAGGAGTCTTAATTAAGGGATATAGGAGTCTCTCCAGGTTCTCTACGGCGCCAGACTCGAATTCCGAAATCCGGCGCAGCGAAATAACGAAGAAGTAAACAACGACACGCTAAAGTGGAAACTGCGCACCCTCACAAAGAGGTGCACGACTCTCAACTTCAAATGCTCATCCCTGAGCTTCATGTCAATCTGAGCCCCCGACATGTGGTGCAGTTTCGTGCGCTGCTGAGTTGAGTTAGGAGGCAGGAGCAGCTTCTTGCAATGGGCGCGGGTGCCAGCGCAGCAGTCAGTGAGGCGTTGCAGCACGCAGAGCTGTCGCAGTACTTCCAAGGGCCCTACCTCCAGGGTCACCTGTACACAGGCTCGCGGTACGCTGAGGACACCTTCCCAGGCGGTCTGCGCACGTTCAGGTACGATGCGGAGGACGGCCCCGTGCACGTGTGGCAGCATGCCTTCGACATTCGTGACCTTGGAAGTTCCAGCGAGGACCTCGTAGTCCTCTACCATTACACGAACGAGCTAGCGTTTCGGAGCATCGGAAACCTCAAGCAAACAGCCGGGGAGCTGTTTGCTTCTTTGGTGGACTCGCGTGCCCATTTCGGCAAAGGCATCTACACCACGAGGCACGAGCCTTGCGTATGGGCGACAAGACTCCGGGTTCTTTTGAACAACTACAGCAATGGCAGTCCGCTGCGGGGTGCAGACGCGGAGTCCGAGCGCGTGCAGCAAGAGTGGGGCGACGGCAACTCCTCGGGCCACCGTGCCGCCTTCTGCGTCCCCATCTTGGCACCGACGGCCATGGCCTACAACATTTTTGAGAGGCAGACGCCGGACCTTGCGCGGAAGACGGTGGCGAGCGATGATGGTGGGCCCGAGCGCTTAATTCGACTAGGTGAGGATTACAAGGGCCGCGCAGTGGATCCGAGCCGGGATGTCTGGGTGGTCCGAGCTACGGACGATTCTGGGGCCGTCAGCAACGTCTCCGCTGAGGCCGACAGCCTGCTGCAGCTCCTGAGATTGCGTCTGGCCCACCTCCGCAAAGAGAAGGGCGACAGGGATGAGTACACGCTGCACTGCATGCACGACTTCGCCAGGAGGCTGAACGCACGTGCGCAATACGACGAAGCCGAGAGCCTCTACCGCGAATGCTGGGCATCTCGCAAGGAGACGTTGGGTGAGAACCATACTGGCACGCTGGCCGCCCTCGGTAACCTGGCAAGGTTGGTAAAGACCCAGGGGCGCCTGGAGGAAGCACTGCTGCTGCAGCGCGAGGCCGTGGAAGGATGCCGGGCTTCCATGGGCAGCGAGCATCCTGACACCATGAGCTGCGTGAACAACTTGGCCTCGCTCCTGCAGCGCATGGGCCGCCTGGAGGAGGCGGCACCGCTATATCAAGAGGCCTTGGAGGTTTGCCGGGTCAAGATGGGGAATGAGGATCCCAAGACCATGACCATGGTCAACAACCTCGCGAGCCTGCTGCGAAAACAGGGCCGTCTTGAGGAGGCGGAGCCGCTGCATCGCGAGGCGGTGGAGGGATGCCGGGCGAAGCTGGGTGCCACGCATCCCAACACCTTGGCTTGCCTCCTGAACTTGGCGTTCCTCCTGGAGTCCAAGGGCTGCCTGGAGGAGTCGGAGCGACTGCACAGGGAGGGTTTGGAAGGGCTCCGCGCGAAGCTCGGGGACGGCCACCCCAACACTCTGGCCGCCGCAGATGCCCTGGCGAGTCTGCTGAAGTCGCAGGGCCGCCTGGATGAGGCGGAGCCGCTGCTGCGCGAGGCGTTGCAAGGGCGCCGGGCCAAGCTGGGCGACACGCACCCCACGACGCTGCAGTCCGTCCAGAAGTTGGCCGGGCTCCTGGAGGCGCAAGGCCACCTCAAGCAGGCGGAATCGCTCTATCGAGAGGCCTTGGAGGGGCGCCGTGGCAAGCTTGGCAAGGACCACGCAGACACCCTGGCCTCCGCCAACAGCCTGGCGGACCTGCTCAAGTCACACGGGTGATTTTCCGCTTTGCATTTTCCGCTTCGCGGCAGGAAACGGCGGCTAATGTTGTTTGCAAAGTTCAGGCAGGCATTCTGTCGCAGGGCCTACTTAGCTAGGTTTGTTGGGGATAGTCGTCTTCAAACCTCGTCAATCCTCGTCGCATCGTCTGGGCTGCGTGATCGGTGCTGGAGTATTCCCCCCTTATCAGCCGGTTGTACGCTTGCTATTGGGCTGTGCAGCGGCGGGGATTCTTTACGCCTGAAGTTTGATAAGCAAGCAAAAGCCGCAGACTGCACTACTCAGGCATCAACTGCGACGGCCTTGCGACCCGCTTCGCAGACAGGGAGGGCGGGAACATGCCGGCTGCCAAGAAGGCCCTGCTGCAGGTTTGAAGGCCTCAAAGGTTTCAGAGAATTCGAGGGGGGGCCTCTGCAGGCTGTACTTCGAAATGGCACAATCTTCGTTAAGTACAGAGGCCCATGGAGCGAAGCTTTCGTGCTCTGGCCAGGTTTCTCCCTGCCAAGGGCTTCAGATCTTCTGCCCCTGCTTAGCGAGATGTGGCGTAGAGCATAGGCGGTTGTTGCTCGTGCCCGCTTTTTTTTGTGTGTGACTCTATTGCGTTGCAGTGTGGGGTGGCATCAACCAACCACTCAGGGGTTGAGATCTTCAGTGCCAAAGTCTGCGAAACGTTGGGGTTCGCAGGGGTGGGGGCGTCTAGTGCATAGGGTGGGTGTGGCACTATGTAACTTAGGTTGTTTCACGCATCTTCCATTCGCTGCTCGTACCACCTACTGTTAGAAGGCCCGCATGGAGTCCTACGGCGACCACAAGGGACTGGCAGGTACAGCTTTCTGAGTCTCGAGTTTTGACTTTTGATGCTTTGAGTCTTTCAGCTCCTGAGAGCGTAGTAATCTTGACCTTCGCGGTGGACTTTTCCTCGGGAATCCCGAGCCCCGAGCCTGCGTTCGGAAGCTGACTGCGCGTGCCGAAAAACAACTGTGCGCAGGCATTGCACCGCGTCTCCGGTGTAAAGCAAAGGCACAGAAGAGAGAGAGAGAGAGAGAGAAAGTGCGTGTGCGTGTGTGTACATTCACATGCCCGTACACGTAGGTGGATCGTTAACTAACAATCCAACCAAGTTACCGTCTGACTAACCAGCTAGCAGGCAAGCAAGCTAGCTGACTATTTAACTAATGATATAGCCATCAACCTACCTATCCTTGTCTGTCTCTTGTTTATGCGCGCATGCGTGCATACATACACACGTGCTTATACATGCATAGACGCGCATGTGCTCGTATTTTTTTCGCCTGTACAAAAGGTCACCGATATACTCGAATAAAAAACAAGCATCGTACCCACTGTTGTGCCCATGGTTTAGATTCCGCTGTGACGTGTGCCTCTCCACATGGAAGTTCATGGAGGGCATTCATGTCCATCAACTGTCGTGGCTCACTGCAGTCTGCACTCAGCGCTCACAGTTTGAGCCTGCAAGAATAAAGCCAGTTGAAGCAACCCTTCCCTGCAGCTTGCAGAAAAGGCGAAAGTAATTCGGCAAGATTCCAGACCAGTCAGCAGACATCAACTCCTGTCTTATCCCAAATCCTCGACACAACACATTTGCGACTGGGCGCTGGCGATGCAGAGATGGCAGATGATAAGGTCCGACGACAGCGCATGTGGACGAGCATGCAGCAGAGAGGCACCCGAAACCCTAAACCCTAAATCCTAATTTCGGGTCTCGGTTTGAGGGTCTTCGGGTCTCGCGTCTTGGCGTGTTGTCGTTTGTGATTTCACGACGCAGAGTGCGAGGGTTTTGGTTCGGTTTCTCACTGAGAGCTTTCCTATAGGGGCTTAAATACGTACCAATATTATGGTGGGGGTTCCTTATTCTAATTATAGTAACTATAATGGGCCCCAAAGCACTATTTTAATTATTAAGGCCCCTACATTAGGCCTGTATCCCCTGACTCCGACTTCAGAAGCAGCACAAACCACCCTTGACGCTACGGAGGTGTTAGTGCCCAAAGCTGTCAATACTAACTCAGCGCAAGCCCAACGACCTGCGCCTCAAGCCTGCATTTAGCAACCCTAAACCCTGAACCCTAAACCCTAAACCCCAAAACCCTAAACCCTATACCCTAAACCACAATCCTTAGTCTGCAACCTTGCTACCAGTAGGAGTTGAAACTTAACTACTACATCCTGATCCCACCTTCGAAACACGAAGCTTGCTACTGAAGCAGAAACCCTTTCTTTACAACTCGGTCGGCTTGTTGCCTAGGCCTTGGCGGACCTCCCACGGTTTCTCGCCTACACTCTGGACCCCGATCCGAATCTCAAACCCCCAAAACCTTGAATACGTCGGATCCACAGCACCGAGCCCCAAAATCCTCAACTCGCAACCAGAAGCTCTACTGTGAACCTAGACAGGCATCCGGGCATTTCTACAGCAGCGCCCGGAGGATTTCCGGCGCCGGGCCAAAAAGGGGGTACCGGCAGACGTCCGAGCAGAGGCCTGGAATTTTTTCTGGGGCTCTTAGGGACTTGAATCCGTTTTCTAGGTACACGCACATCGCGAAATCGCTGTGCTTTGTGTCGCGACTGACGTGTGACCTAGTCTGTGTGAGCGAGAGAGGTTTGAGAGTTTAAGGCTTAGGATTGCGTATGAGCCCTGGCCGCCAGCACCACCCCGCCATATAGTGGCAGCTTCAATGGCCCCCCCCACCCCCTACCACACCATACCATTGGGGGGGGGGCTGGGAACGCCAGACGCCTCTGACCATATATACCTTCTCAACCTTCGTGTTCTGACTGATGTTCGTCGTTTTGTTCGAATCCCGAACAGCAGCAGGAGTAGAGTACTCTGCAATACTAGTTTCTTCGCAGTTAGTAGACCTCAGTAGCACTACCATTTATGGTGTCTTTGCTGTTGCTGTGTTTCCGTTCTTTTTCCACAAAGTACCGTTTCCAACCTTTCGGCGAGTCCTCGCGGCCATCAGCTGCTTCATGTCTTGGAGCCACCGAGTTTTGGCCGGATAAAAAAATAGATGCTCCTGGAAGTTGCCGAAGTGGCTGTGGAGCGAGCGAGATGTTGCGTAGCCTAGATGGGCACTCAAGGTCTCCCTGTGTGTTTTGCGATGAGGTAGGGGCATAGGGTGTGGTAGGTTGCGCTGTTTTTCAGATGGAACACGTAACTACAGGACCTCTATGCCCTAAACCCTAAACCCTAAACCCGCAAACCCTTGACCCGTGAGCGCCGAAAGGACTCGGAGCCGACGCTGTTGTTAAACTACTCTGAGGGTTTAGGGTTTAGGGTTTCCCAAGAGCCTCCTGCATCGGCAGGTGTGGCAGGCTGTATTAAACATCGACGGGCATGCGAAACCGGGCTTGTACCAGGAGTTACAAAATTCGGACAATGACCCTTGGAAGAGCTGAAAGTACATTTTGATTTTTGAATGCTGGATTCGGAATGCATAAGAGTCCATTTCTGTGCAGCGTGTGGTCATACTTCAGATTCTTCGGAGCCCACGTTGTTTCCATCGCGCTTGGAGACACTGAGCAAGCCCCAACTACGTATCACTTTGCCCAAGTCCCAAGTGCTGGTGCACTATGCCGGGAAACTCAGGAATGGATCCATTTGATTGAGATTGATGTGCCGCGCACATTTCCAGAGAATCCTGATTCTTGGCCGTGACGGGACAAGCTTTGCAGTTGGAAACCAAGCACAACATACTACTGCCTCTGCTGCTGCCACTACTGCGACGACGACGACTACGACGACGACGACTACGCGACTACGACGTCGACGACGACCACCACGACCGCGACTGCAACTTCGACTACGAGTTTCTAGTGCTATTACTCGTACCGGTGCTGGCACTTGTAGTCGCACTGCTGTTCTTTACATCGTAGTACTGGCGCTACTACGACGACGACTGCCACTACCACTGCCACCGCCAGTCCGACGGAGACCACTACTATTACTGCCTGGACGACGGTGCTTTGGACGTTCTAAGCTTGCAAGGGTGACTACGGCCTAAGTCCACGTCGTCTGCTGGGACGAGTAACGTTAACCAACATAATACATCAAGAGGAATAATGGTTGCCGATTTTCTAGCACGGTTTGAAGCATTTTTGGTTTCGGCGTGCTCGTGCGCAAGCAAGGCCTTTGACGAGGCCCAACAGCGATGTCTCCTGCGTGTCCTCAAAGCCTACGCCAACCTTTGTGCCGATGTCGGCCGCTAGGAGGAAAGGTTTAAGTATTCGTGACCCAAACCCTAGCCGACCCAAACCCCAAATCTACGCAGTCAAGCCTTGAAGAGGATACGGCTGAGACTTCCTGGAGTCTTGGGCTTTCTGATTCTTGGGATTCTCTTGGGGCACAAGATTCCTCTCATGTTTCGTTTGTATGTTGATTTGGGATGCTACCATGGGCACGAAGCTTTGGCCGGCAATCGGAGCTGAGGGTTGGGAGTTGGGACTTTGTTTCAGCTAGAGCTGCAGAGTTGTATGTGAAGTTGGCGAGAGAGAAGTAAGGGACCAACCGCAATTACTTTGAAATTGTTGTTCTCGTTGCTAAAGTCGCTTGAAGGACTTATGTTTTTCTGGTTGTTTCATGTGATAGTGACTGATAGTGTTCGTATTCGCTACAGCATATCCGCTGTAGCAGTGCAGCAGCAGCAGCAGCAGGAGCAGAAGTAGGAGGAGTTGGAGAAGTAGGAGTTGCGGGGACAGGTGGAGTTCTAGCAGAGTACTAGTACTAGTCGTTATCGTCGAGATGGTGGTCGTGGTGGTGCTGGTGCTGGTGTGGTGCTGGTGCTAGTGGTGGTTTCGGTGGTGCTGGTTGTGGTGGTGGTTTTGGTGTTGGCGGTGGTGGTGGTGGTGGTGGTTGTAGTTGCTGAGGCGTAGTCATTGGCATGCTTCTCTTTGCTGGCCCTGCCGTACTGGGCATAATGCCCTTCTTATTGTGACTAGTTTACCCAGAGCCTCCAATATCCCTTAATTAAGGACTATGTTTTGAATTAGTAGGATCCCTAATATGACTTAAGGTATATTCCTTAATTAAGGGATATTGGAGTCTCTGAGCAGTCTAGCCTGGTGAGAGTTGTTAGTGCTGGTTTCCCTTCCACTGGCTGTTTGACTGGTGCCCTAGTTCCACACCCAATTGCTATCGATCCCTACCAATCCACAAGCTCCTACACAGCACAAATTCAGGGGCCTTATATGGGGGTTCCTAACCCTATCTGTAGTGAAGTTTTACCCAAAACCCTGTTTCAGTGATTCAGGCCCCTGTACCATCCCAGGCTACTGCCAGGGTATGAACTTCGTGGCGGGCTTGCTGCTTCTGGTAGCGCAGGGTGGCGACTTCTCTCAACCGACCCCCGAAGCTCGGCGGCGGGTCGTTGAAGTATGAGCCAGAAAGATGCTGTATACATCGGTATCATCATGCTACTACCGCTAAGCACAGGGAGTCCCAGCACTAGTCAACCAACTCTTAAATCCATGCTTCAACTTCTCTTGAGCTTGGGATTTGAGTTGAGATGTCTTTTGGTGTGTAGCCAGTAGAGTGGAAGATGCAACTCGTTGACTTGCATTGCCATGAAGACGTCTACTACGGTGAACACTGGTGCTGGCATTCACCATAGGGGTTTGAGCATCCTAGGCGCTGCTACAGACTTCAGAGTCGTAGGGTTTAGGGTTCAAGGGCCTCAGCATGACGGATATTCGTTCAGGCTTGGAGGAAGACGATGTCGGCGATGGACAGTTCCTACAGAATTCAGAAGTACATGTTCTAGGTGCAGCCCGCAGCTGCTTGCATCACAGCCCGCGCTAGGTCCTGAACCTGAAGATATGGGAGTTTCCGAAAATGAGGGACCCTAATATGGCACCCTAAATAGTAGGATCCTTATTATAAGGACACCAAAATAAGGTACCCCGAATTTTCGGAAACTCCCATATCCGAAGTCTTCTTAACATGATTGGGGTCCAAGCTTAAAAAAAGAGAGTGAACTCTACATCGAAAAGCGGTTGGCCCAGGAAATCGAAGAGTCCACCTTTTGGATGTTCTTCTGCCTCATGGAGCCACTAGGCCTTTCTTCCTTCTGGAACCAGGAACCCTCAACCCGAAGCGAGATAATGTAGGGGCCTTAATAATTAGAATAGGGCATTGGGGTTCCTTAATATATTTATAGTAAAATATACACCCAAGTCCTATTCTAATTATTAAGGCCCCTACATTACCGTTTGTTCGTTCGGAGGATCAGGAGTAAGAGTCCCACCTGCTTGAGCTGCCCAAGCCTGAAAAGGTCCGCCTTGAAGAGTTTATCCCCGAACCCGAAGGCAACGGACAGATTGAACAAGGCACTCAACAAAACGCCACACTTAAACCCCAAAAAGCATCTTCAAGCAGCCTGCAATGCGGGAGGGAAAAAATCTTCAAGCACATCGTAGGAATCGGGTCCGGGTTGTGGTGGTCACGGACTGCTCCAGCCCTTTCCTCCAGCCAAGCTTGGTCTGGGATCTTAGGGTTTCGGGGTTCGAGCGGCTTAGGGCTTCGAGGGTTCAGGATTCAGGTCTTTAGTTAACGGTGTCATGTGTGTGGCACTAACAAGTCCATCGGATCGAAAAGTTTATGGCGTGCGTGAGCTGACCGACTTCACAATCTCATGCAGCATGTTCTTGCGATGATTGGTCATGCCTGCAAGCAGCACACAGCATGATTACCGAGACGAGGCAGGTTGTGATACAGGGGTGGCTGCGTCTGTGGACGCTTGAGCGGCTTCACTTCTGCGCCTTCTGTTTCGGGATTCCGTGTTTCAAGAATCATGGTTTACTTGCAGGTATTATGTCACTCACGGGGTACTGATGAGGCATCTGCAGTTACAAGTGGCCATGGTTGGCCCCAGTACTTGACTCAGTCTCGACACCCTTCACACCCCTCCCTAAACTCAAGACTCAACGCCCTCAACCATAAACCCTCGAACAAGAACCGTAGGACAATCCTAGACCCAATCCTACAGCAACCATAGTAAGGCCGGTAAACTTCGTCTTCGTCTGTTTTTTTAGAAAGCCCTACAACCCCTGGAGCATCCGATAAACATCCTACAAAGCTCCGGCCTACCGCTATGGAAGCAGGGTGAAACCCCTCCGAGCCCCCCAAAACACTCGAGGTTCGGCCAGCTTAACGGCTTCTACCGTCGAGGGTTTCCGCTCCTCAAAAGGCATCTGGGAGCATCAAACAGGCGTGCGCTTGAGAGGGTTACTACCTAGCCTGAAGTTCTCATAAGGGTTCTCAGGGTTGAGGGGTCTTTTGAGGTTTATAGTTTGAATGGGTTTCGGGTTTGAAGTACTTGTCAAGTAGAGTGTCCGCACGGTCGCTCGCGTGTGCTGTCTGTCTTTGGGTGTGTCTAGGCCGGTGTGTCCATCGACCTTGGTATGGAGTCTCGCAATGGTCGGGCTGGTCCGGTAGGTTTAAATTCAGATAAGGATCAATAAGCAGACATCGGCATTTTGGCATCGGCGGCTTGCTTCATCATTGTAATCATGTAAATTTAAGAATTCGAGTTGGCATTCTTGGGCTAAACGTAACGTCCATTGTAGGAGCATGGGCAGGAGCAATAGAGTTCCCTGCGCACTCTCGCATAGGGAGTAATATCATGCATTAGGGTTCCTTATTGTGCCATAGCATGCCCAAAAGCCCATTCGAGTGATCGAGGCATCGCTACTGTCTTGCGCTTTTTAGCTTCCGCATTTGGTGTTTTCAACCAAGGTAGTAGCGGCTTAGCTGGCTAGGTTCTGGATCAACCTTTGATTTTGGAGGTTGATCAAGGTGGGGCGTTCAAGAACCTGCAGGTTTAGGTGTTGTCAGTGAGGTATCTGTGGGCCTTCGATGAGCTCGTTGCCGCTTCTCTTCCAGAGCTTCACGAGCACTTCTGCAAAGAGAACCTCCAGCACTCGGTCTACCTCCATCAATGGTTCCTGCCGCTAGGTCTGGTTCTGGTCAAAGCTGTAGAATTTAGGGAGAAAGAGCCCCACATCATTGTATGTTTTCGTTTCTTGGTCCTGTTTCATGACGGAAAGCAAAGATAGGAGCAGCTTGCCCGGTTTATGGTGGGTAAGTGCGTTAACTGCTGCGGGGAGGTTTCACAACTTCACATGGAGGGTTCTTGGAAATTTGTGACGTCTTGAGGGTCTTACGCTTGTGTGATCAGAGAAACCCTAAACCCCGAACCCCTAAACCTTTTTCCCTAAACCAGCCGAGGACTCTCTTCGTTAGCAGCCTGCCGTTGCCCATGGTACTTGTGCTATGGGACGCCATCATCTGCGGAGGCCTTGAGGAGATTCTATCCATCTCCATCGCCGTGCTGCAGTTGCTGCAGCAGACACTTCTGGGCATGAGGTTTGAAGAGGTTGTGAGCTTCTTCCAGACGCTGAAGACCCGCGAGCAGGAAGACTGCGACTTTGAGAGTATCGGCCGCATTGCCGTCATCAGCAGCGGGAGCTTTTGCATTCCCAACCACGTCGCAGATGTGCTGCGCAGACCGCTTCCCCTGACGTCCGACCACCTCATGGAACGTTCCCCGCAGTCACCCACGAAACGCATGCTGGACTCCGATGAGGATATGACCACAACGGCAAACACAACCACAGTCAATTCGCCTTGCAGCACGGGTGCCGCCAGCAGTGAGGGCGGCATGTTACGCGATTATTTGCGTCAGATCAACCAGGGTCTCAGCTGGTGGGTCGATACCCGGTCTTCATGGGCTTGAGTCTCAAGCTTAGGTTGCTTAGGCCCTTTAGGGTGGGGCTGTTTTGACAAAAGGGAACCCCCTTCTTCAACTCAAGGTGGCATCCAAGAGCTGTCCCAACTTTCCAACCTTGACAGCCCTGCCGAGAGTGTCACAAGGTGGGTCGTCGGTTTCCGCAAGAGGCACGAATCCACCCCCCAACGGCCAGGTCAGCGCAAAACATGCCAGTTTTTGCTGAGACTTTAACCTTAAGTGTGTCAGCGCGAAGGCGGAGCAGCAGCTAGCAGATCTTTTGAACAAGGGGCTGAGCTTTGGACGAAGAACGCACTATTCACCATTTTTGGCAGAAGCATGATGCGAAGTTCTCTCTTTTTGCACCTTAAGGTACTGTTTTCTTGTCAGGCAAGGGATGTAAACCACCATCCCAAAGCTCGGATTATCCGAAGCCCCTGGGTATGCAGATTTGAAGAAGTTGTTCCGACCTCTGATGGCTAACACATGTTGGTCTGACCCTTGTAAGGCTTACCGTAAACTACCAGAACCTACTTTTCTGCAGCTTCTTATTGTAAACCCTAATATGGGATTTACAGGGGCCCTATACATTAAAGTAGGTTTTGGTGGGTTCAGGTAGGGCCTACGGCCTAGGGAATCGATTGGTCTTACTGTCCTTCTTGGAGCCGCCACGCTGCACATGCTGGTGATGGCACGCCAACAGAGCGAGCCACCGTCGCGTTACCATCCAGTTCCTGTCAGTCTCTGGAACACTTCAGGGCCCTGCAAGACGCATTATTGTTGTTAATATTCCTGCTGTTAATATGTTCTATTATTATTATTACTACTATTCGTATAATGATTACTCTTATGACTGTGATTACAATTACTAGTCTTGGCATTGTTGATGATGATGAGTATTATTCCTGTTTTTCACTGTTGTTATCTCTAATTATTGTTACCATTGTTATTATTGTTGTTATTGTTGTTGTTGTTGTTGCTGTTATTGTTATTGCGATATGGCTATTGCTCATGCTATTACTATCCTCATTACGACTAGTATTTTTGTAAAGCTACAGTAGAGCCAAGGAGTGGAAGGTTGAGTTTCGGCACAGGTTGGCTGACTCAGGGCATTGGGAGGAACAGCAGGATCTACGCGGTTTCAAGGGTCGATTTGTGTGATTTTCGCTTGGGACTGTTTCTGCCAGAGCGCAGAAGCCACCATCAGCCTGCGGGTCTTGGGAAATGTGGGGTCGCAAGCGGGCCGACCTGGGCAGCGAATGTGTTTCCAGAACCTTGTAGCTCCAGGCTTGCATTCTGCAAGCTTGTCTGTCACACATCCGAAGGGAGATTCGGCCTCAGTTCTGTGGCTAGCTCAGGGGGACTATTCCTGTTCAGGCTTACCATGCGGAAGCCAAAGAAACTCCGAACCCTAAGCCGTAAACTCGGGAGGTAGGAAACTTTGTATTATCCCTTTACAATCCTTCAGAACTTTGCTAGTACTTTACTATAATGCACCCCCCGACACCCCAAGTCCTTTTCTCATCACCAAGTGACCCCTCCAGTCAGCCAGCACCATAATGCTGGTCCAGGGCCTTAAGCTCCCTTTGGATTGAAGAAGCTGGAATTAGGGCTGCGGGTTTCGGATTCCAGGGGTGAGAGTTGAAGCTTAGGGTGTGAGGTTTAAGGGTTTAGGTTGTATGTTCGGGTGAGAGGGTTTGAAGCATTGGGGATATACATATCCACCTGCATGTGGAGGCGGCGGGCGAACTTAGTTTGCCGCTTTGTACAGGTTGCAAAAAAGCCTTTGACCAGCCATGGCTTTGGGGTTATTCAGCCATGAACTCCGTCATTAGTAACATAGTCTAGGACCCAGAGTAGGCCCTTATTCCCTTTTTTAGGGGTTTAGGTTCTCTTTTAACACCCTTTAACCCAAAAAGGGCACCCTTTTTTTCCACGGCTACTCTTGGGTCTAGTAGTAACCCCTGTGGTAGCCCTTCTACTAACTCTGAGAGTCACCCGCATAGTCAAGCCCTATCGCAAAGAGCCCATGAAGCAGTAGATAAGAATATGCGCGCTCCGACGAGGCCATGAACTCTGCACTTTCGAGCTTGCTGGGTTGTCCTTTGGGATCTGTTTTAATTTCCCCTAGTATTTTGCAGAGAACCATAACAGTAAATAATTTTCAAAGGGCTTAAAGGACAGCTCAGCTTGGTAAAGTATGGGAATTCTGTTTGTAGCATCTTTTCGTAGCTAGGGCAGCATTCAAACTTCATGTGGCGCCTAGTTCCCCAAGCCTCAAACAATCATGAAGCTGACTTGGGGAACATCTTCTCCCTCGCAGCCTGATAGCAGAACTTCTAGCAGCCCTTACAAGGAAAAACCCTAAACCCCGAAACCCTGTGCGAGTGTGAGCGCCGAAACCCCGAAACAATAACCCCTAAACCCTAAACCCTAAACCCCTAGGAGGGAAAAAAACCCCTAAACCCTAAACCCTAAACCCCTAAACCCCTAAACCCTAAGCCCTAATGGGAACCCTTAGAGGAACTCTTAAGGGACCCTGACGAAGAGCATCTTCGCTCCAGGGTCTCGGCGTCTGGGCTTTCGGCACAGCGCCGAGGAGCACCAGCTCCAACAGCGGCCCGGCTGATGTGAGAGTTTCCGAAAATAGGAGACCCTAATATAGCACCCCAAATAGTAGGACCCTTGTTTTAAGGAACCCCTATTATTTTCTCAAACTCCCATCTGGCTTCTTGTGGCTTGGGGTTTAAGGTGTGGGGCGCAGGGCTTAGGGTTTAGGGTTCGGGGCGTAGGGCTTAAGGGATTACGGGGCTTAGGGTTGAGGGTTGCAGAGCTCAGCTACAAAAACAGGGCTCAAGGCGAAGACCTTAGGTTCAGGGTTTAGGGAAAAAAGGGTTTTAGGGTTTAGGGTTTAGGGTTTAGGGGTTTAGGGTTTAGCCAGCACAGACCCGAAGCCCGTGCTGAGAAAGGGTTCAAGGGAATTGGGAGTCCAATCGCAAGGTCGGAATAATTAAGAAAGGCCACCCTCTTGCTGCATTATTCCCTTTTGCTTATGCTGTAATATACCCTGGCCTGTTCTAAGTAGTACCTAAAACAGTAGGACCTTTATCATAAGGACCCTAAAGGAAGTAGGAGGAAAAAACTAAACCCTAAACCTTAAACCCCAGACAAAGGCAAACCCTAAACCCGAAACCCGAAGCCCTAGACCCTTGAAGCCCTCAAAGGAAGACCCGTGCAACAGAACGTCCCGGCTTAGGCGGATCCTGGATCAGCATGTAGCCGACACCCTGGGGATCGAGGCACAGGGCTTCAAACTTCTTCTGGATTCTTGTTTTTGGGGTTATGTTTAAGTTTCCATAATAAGGAAACCGCATCATCTAGTATAGATCCCACTTAAGATACATCCCTTAACAAGAACCCCGTTTCTTTCGCAGGTCTTCCCAGCATGTCTGAGGTGCAACGCCTAAGATCAGGAAGGCAAGATGTATACCTCACCATCTTTGGTAAAGGTTTCAAGGATCTTTCGTATGTATCACCTCTTCCTCTTCTGTAGTTTTGCGAAAAGTAGGATCACCAGCAGACGAGCTCGAAGTCTTTGTGGGCGTCCTTCGGTTGTAAGCGAGTTTTGCTCGGAGCTTCCGAGAAAAAGGTCGATGCACGCAGCTCTTAGGTACTGCCCTCATACAGTAAGAGTCTATAACAGGGCTACTGTTAAGGCCCTAATATATCTATATTATGGGTATTATCCGACTATTACTGAGTGGGGGCCGTACCCAACGCAGCTCTCACATCTCAGGTGGTCATGTGGGGCTACTCGCAGTTAAAGATTTCGGGTTCGAGCCTTGGCGTGGGCTTTTGGAGTGCCCCCAAAACGCGAAGCCCTAGACGTTCCCAAAAGATTTCGGTTTAGGGCTTAGGGTTTAGGGTTTAGGGTTTAGGATGAGGACAGCTACTTCGAAGGCAGGGATGGATGTACTTTCTCCATTGGTGACCAGCACGAGCATGTTGCATGGGGCCTTGTATTGTGCGCTCGAACCTGTCACATGGCACCAAGCCTGAACCCCGAATCGATGAACCCGGCACCCCAACCCTGCCGACCTTAAACCCCGGCCCGTAGAAGCATCGGGCTCGAAGCTATGTACAGGTTTGGTATTTTCAGGTGGCAAAGCATCGCGCAGCTGCTTCTGTTCTTGCTGGTCTCTGCAGGTTGACGCCAGTGAGTCCTGCCAGCATTGCAAGGCTGAAGTGGACCTGTTGCAGCGCAAGCACTCGCTAGAGCGCAAAACCGATCCCCACGTGCTCCTTTTCGTCGCAGACGACATGGGCTGGGCAGCTTTGCGTGCCCACCGAACAGCTCGAAATCCGGCGGAGGTGCAAGGCAAGGCGGAGGTAAACACTCCTAACTTAGATGCTTTGGTCCAAAAGGGCGTACTTTCGGAGAGGCGCTACACATCGTCAAAATCTGGGCCGTCCAGGTGTTCTTCGCTAAGGGGCCGGCTACCTCGTCACTTCCCCCAAGCAGATGCAAACATTTCGCCTACCCAGGCGTTCCGGAACCCAGCCAGCAGACAACGTCTCCGGCTTCTATGGCATACCGCGCAACATTACGGGGATCGACAGCAAGTTAAAGCAAGCTGGTTATGCTACTAATTATGTCGGCAATATGAGATGTGGGTCTTGCAGCCCGGAACATACTCCGCTCGGGAGAGGCTTTGGTTCGTTTCTAGGCCATTTGCAATCCTTTGCCGACTACTGGTCAAGGGACAAGGCGACAGCGACGTTTGATCCCTAAACCCTAGCCCCTTTGGTGCACTTCTCGATTTGTGTCTGTCGTCCTGCTGCCGGGGCCATGCTAGTCTTCTCTGTATCGTTCCAATTTTATCGGTCATCGATAAAATTGGAACGATACAGAGAAGATTAGCATGGCCCCTGCGCAAGGATGACATGCACAAATCGAGAAGTGCACCAAGTCAAAAAACCTTAAACAAACCCTATTGTTTAAGGATATG